AATGGACGTGAAAATTCGATATTTGAAAATTCGTCTTCCATAATTCGTCGTTCAACAGAATATAATTTATAATATATCACTCGTTTCAAAGAATCTATTTTTTTATGATTAATAAATCTGAATGGATCTTGCCACATTATCGGAATCGCAATCTTTGCAAAAATCCGAGAAGTTATGACACAACTGAATAAAGATCCGTTCATATCATATAAATATGATAGAATACACAATATCAATTCATTAGGAAAAATCATGTTTATCGATTTTTTTTTTATGATAAAACACATGTTGTTTATTTATAATTATTCATATTAATAATTAAAGAAACATTTGAATATATAATAAGATAAATATGAAATAAATAAGGTTTGAATATGTATATAAATTAATAAATAAATAAAAATTTATCTCAAATTAAAAGTTTGTCATAATTATTTTGAAATACAGAATAGTAAAGATTTTTATCCTCTTCAGAAAGAATAGAATAACGTTTATAAAAATCATCATGTTTAATAAATTCCGAAATACCACAATCCTTTAATTTAAAAAAGATTTTTTGTAAATATTCGTCTTTTTGTTTCTTATTAAATTTGTTGATATAATCATTATATAATATATTATCTTGAATACTAATCAATGAAGTAGCATTAATTCCCTTTACTCTTTTATATTGTGAATATGTATTACATTCTTTTAATGAATCAATATTAATTGGATTACTACCAATTTCATCTTTTCTAAAAAAAGAAAAGTAAAAAGGTTCGACCAATAAAATAATAGCTAATAAATCGTTTGAAAGAATGAAATCAGTTGGGTATAAACTAAAATACTCTGATAAAGTTTTTTCTAATTTTTCCTCGAAAAGATTATTAATACTATTTAAGAATTTTGAATATTTAAATTTTGAACTATTTGATAAAAATAATCTGATTCTAAAATAATTATATGGTGATCTTAAACATTCTCCGTGTAGTGAAGAAGAAGAAAGACAAAAAACATTCATTGAAGAATGTTGTAATAACTTTTTATCATTATCAAAAAAGATATATGGAAAATTAAGTTGATTCTCTATAGCTTCAGACATTTTTTTTAAAAATTCTATATCTTCAGGATATTCGATATATTCTTGTTCATTTTCAAATCGTTTAAGTAAATAATTACAAACAGCATCTATTCGTTGTTTGTAAAAGGTATCTTGAGTATTCAAATTTTTTTGGATGATATTTGATATGATTTTTTTTTTTGTCTTTAAATAAATTATCACAAAAATCAGACAAATATTCAAAAGATGACATTTTAAATTTGGAATACTATATTTATTGATTTTGATTTTGATATTTATACAAGGTCTGTGATATTGGCTTTATATATAAATTAAATTATAAATATGATTAAAATTTAAAATTTATCATCATGGTTATTTTTGATTTACCTTTCGGATTTTGTGTAATGATAGATAATATCCAATGATAATTATTAAATATCAATATTGAAATTAAAAAAATATTAATTATTAGATTTCATTACATACACGGTCAAAATAAAAAAAATGTGATAAATGATTATAATGATAATATAAATATACATGAATTTATAAATTATAATTTATAAAAAAAAATAATATTATCATTAAAATAAAATTCGAATATTAATGATAAATGATATTATTAAATCAATAAATATAAATAAATCAAAT